TGGACTTGGCATAATGGTAAATATTGTAATAAAAATTATTTATTTATTTATTTATTTATTATTCATTTTATTTTATATAATTCAAATATTATTAATAAAAAAACTTATTTTATTTTTTTATGTAGGGTTTCCAAATGGCCAATAATTTATATACTAAATCCAATTTTCCATTAGTTATTTATGATATAAATCAATCTTCTCTAGAAAAATTTACTTCTTTACATTCTGCAACTATTTCTAAAAAACCAATTTATCATGCTAAATCTCCTGCCGATGTTGCAAGAAAAGCTTCGGTTGTTATTACTATGTTACCATCTTCTCCTCATGTAAAAGATGTTTATTTAGGAAAAGATGGTTTGGTTGAAGGTTTAGATGATCAAAATTTCTTTATTGATTCTAGTACTATTGATCAAAGTGTTTCAAAAGATGTTGCACGACAAATTATTGATAAAGGTGCGAGACAGGTTGATGCGCCAGTTTCTGGAGGTATTATTATTATTATGATTTATTTTTATTTATTTTTATTATCGTTATTATGTATTTTTAATTTATGCATAATGACAAGTTTACCAAAAAACAAAAACCTTAATATTATTAACATTATTATTTTAACTTATTTTAACTTTATTAGGAGTTGTCGGTGCTGAAGCTGCTACTTTAACTTTCATGGTCGGTGCATCGACTGAAACGGATTTTCTAAGATCTAAACCTTACTTAACATATATGGGTAAAAATATTGTACATTGTGGAGGCCTTGGTACAGGTCAAATTGCCAAGATTTGTAATAATATGCTTTTGGCAATTTCTATGATCGGTGTATCAGAAACAATGAATCTTGGTATACAATTAGGAATGAATCCTCAATTATTAGCAAATATATTAAATACAAGTTCTGGTAGATGTTGGTCAAGTGATACTTATAATCCTTGTCCTGGTATTATGCCAAATGTACCATCAAATAATGATTACGAAGGTGGTTTTGCCAATACTTTAATGGCAAAGGATATGGGATTGGCTGTTAATGCTGCTAAAGATGTACAAGCTACTATTTTTTTGGGTACTGTTGCTCAACAAATTTATAATGCTTTGTCTAAATCTCCTGGTTATGAAAAGAAAGATTTTGGTTCTATTTATAAATGGTTGAATGAAAGAAGTGGAAATAAATGAATTTCCTTATATACGTAAGAAAATAAATCATTTATCGATGAATTAAATGTTTATTTTATTTACTATTGTGATACAGTTTTTTTATTGTTTTATTGTTTCGATACAAATATCCCAATATATCGTTGGATTAATTTGGCCTGGATATAGTTGTGTAAATTTTCTTGATCCTGATCCTTAAGCTTATAGAACTAGTTTACTCTTCTAAATACAAGTGTTTTGTTATTTTTACACATAAATCCTGGTAATCTATAAAGAATGTTGACCGTAATTTGCCTCAAGATTCTTTTATAAAATATATATATAGTTATCGGGTCCGCCATTTAAATGCAAAGTCACCTAATGCGAGATTTAAAATTTGTATAACTTTATATAAATTTTCGAATAAATTTTCATTTCTTTGATCTATATAGTGTAGCCATCCACAAACTGTTTGGGATCACTTAATTTCCTATAACTAAAACTAATTATCACATAGTTAAATAAATAGATTTGACGGCAACTATATACTGGTTAAAAAATTATATTTTAACTAAATAATTCCTTGTAATATATAGTACACACATGTATTTAAATATATTTACTAGTAAATATATTTAAATACATATAATACCCAGTAATTGAGTTATAATGTGTACTATATATTACGAGGTATTATTTAGTTAAGATATAATTTATTTTAACCAGTAATAGTAGCTAAAAACTCAATTGAAATCCACTAGTTCTAGCCCTAAGTTCGCATAAGATTTTATTTAAAACATATTCACCAGATACTGTAATTGGAAGATACTGTAAATAATTTAAATAAATTTATTCATTGGTTATTATTAGCTGTAGAGACAAAGTATTTAACTTGATAAATGAATATTTTTTTTTTTATCGATATAAATTAATAAATTAAGTGAAATGTCATTATAATAGTTTTCAGAAATTGTAGTAGAATTTGAGTAAATAAAACTTTTATTAATTAAATCAATAACATTATGTTAGGTGTAATCAAATCAATTTACCATAAACTTTTGTAAGTTCCTTTGCATATTTGAATAGCTAATGTTTCATCATACTCAATATCATAATAAGAAGCTCTTCCAGTAGACATCTCAGTCATAATAATATCAAAACTATGAATATCAGCTATATACTATTGTATATGATTGTCTATTTAACACTTCTGGCGCAACGTAAGGTAAAGTACAGTAACTAAACAATAAACAATACAAGATGTTAGGTTACTATCAATATATTGATTTTGTGAAACAATATATTGCCGCAATGGAAATCTCCATGAACACATGTATTCTGCTTCGTGTACTTTTATTAAATTTTCTGATATATCGATAAGTTGCTTTAATTTACTTTTCCAAATTAAGTTCTCTGAAAGTTGATAATAGGAAATTGTAAAGACTTCCTCTATTTGCATATTGAAATAGCATCAAATATTCATTATTATTTGTCTTGAGTTAGCCCATAAACTTCAAGATTAATTTAAATTCTGTTTAACTTTTAAACTTGTTAAATAAAATTTTTATATTAATAATTATTTAGAAAATTATAATTCAATACGTTGCCACCAGGATTGTCATTGGATTTATTCCAATCTTTTACAGATGCTGGACTGGACTTTTTTATGCCCAGTCCAGTTGTTTTGTTCAGTCCAATGAATATGTTTTGATATTTTTTAAATGCAAATAACTTTTGATCCATTGGTCTGTTTCAGATACTTTACTACCAAAATAACCGCCTCATTGAGACAATTCTAATGAATCCAAAATCACCAAAACCCATCACAGAATCATGAGATCGTTAATGATTAGTTTAATCAAGTTTTAAATATTTAAAAATAGCAAATCTTAAATGATATCGGGATCCCGTGATTGAATTTTAATGATTTTGGGCTCATTAGAATTGTCTCAATGAGGCGATTATTTGATGGTACGTTATTCTCATTCAAAAATATAAATTAATAGTAATAGTAATTG